ATGGAATTGCTGTATGAAATGTGGATGCAGGTCTTTGTTTGTCATAAACGGAGTTTAAGATTCAAGCTGGTGGGTGTTATGGCAGCTGAATGTGGAATTAATTTGCTCTGTAAACTTTCACCCAAATCACAATAAGAAAAGAAAAAAAAAAAAAAAAAAGGAAAAACTCCAAGTTGCAAGGATTCGTTTCTAGGGCTGCTGCTGATGACATTATACTGTTACTTGCAGGCCTGCAGCTCAAATTTAACAAAGACTCCAATTTTTAGGGGGCTGACATTTTCTGTCAGGTTCAGACTGTCGAAAAAACCTCCAGACCCCTCCATGCCAAACAGCTGCACTACAATAATTGCCCTGATCCTCCACTGGAGTTTGTCCCAGGGTCTGCCCACTTATGGTTTTATTCTCCTCTCTGTACCCACTTCAGTGGTACCCGGAGCCAGAGGAATGTCTGCTCCTTCCCAGAAGTCCCCAGTTTACTGATAAAAGTAGGTACTGAAGGTAGATCTGTGGAGTGGCTGCAAGTTTTCTGGTGTGGTGTGCTCTCTTCACTGCCCCAGGTAGGTCTCCGATGCCTTTCTCACCTGGCAGATGTTGCTCTGCAGGGAAAGTTCACCTGTTTTTGTTATTTTTTCCCCTCTAGGTAATTGCACTTCTCCTTTCTCCTTTCTAATTCTATTCCCCTGAGTTTGGCGTAATCTGACTTATGAGTTGTTCAGAGCATCAGAATCCCCATTTCAAACCGCTGCACCTAGTTTTTCAGGCACTAAGATGCTAGAGGGCACTAGCATGTGCGCTACAGAGGAGACACCATTTTCCTCCATTTTTTTTCCTATTTTGTAGTTATATACATATGCTGTTGTTTCCTTCATTAGTCTCTCAAAGATTCCTCACAGCCCCTATTCTGTTTTCTAGTTCAGCTATTGTGTCTTTCATTTTTTTTTAAACATATCTTCTCTGTGGTTTCTATAGTTTAATAAGAGAGGAGAGACTTGAACTATACTCATTTTACCCTCATGAAACAAATAATTTAGTATCTCTGCTTGTGTTTTTGTTAAATCATTGTATCAGAATCTAGAATAAAATAAACCTTTATGTATCTGCCCAGTATTCTTGGAGGAGACGTGTTAGGGAGCAGCAAGGTGATTGAGCCAGAGACTGTTTCCAGAATCTCCTCTGTTTTTCCTAGTTTTGCCTCTATTCAATAATATACTCTCCATATTGGCATGCCCTTGCCTGCCATTCTCTCAGTATTAACATGGAAAGTTGAGCTTTGTTAACCTGAATTGAATTCAGGCCTAATGGATAAAATGGTAAAGTTTCTCTATGGCCAGCCATAAGCCCTTTCCAAAAGACTTTTCTATTTGCTGTTGAGATTTTTTTGTCCTTGTTTTGTATGATTTTTAAAACATTAAAATTGGAAAAGTTTCAAAGCCTTTTAACAGTTTTTTTCTTTAACTTTATAATCTTGAATTTGGAGTAGCACTGATTATTGTTTATAGTATATGAAATACAGTTGTGTACAGTATACAAAATAATGAAAACTTATTTGGCATGAAACAAAAAGTTAAGTCTCTTTACCCTTTAAATTACACATTATGAGTTTTTTGGCCTTGAAGGAAATTAAATTGAGTTAGCTTCTATATAGAGGTCCCCAATTTGTAAATAAATCACAGTAGAACTTTTTTTATGTACACTTGGCCACTTTTTAGTATCTTAAAAAGATATTTTGAAAGAAGAGAAGCATGGTGTAAGGATCAGGAGTAATCAGCTTGAGAAATTAAACCTAGAAATTCTGGGTGGTCTGGACTCCAAGTCAAAACCTAAGGTAAAACTGTTAACTACTCAGAGGGGGATTTATGTAGGAGAGCCTGGATAGGAGAATAATGTGGAACAAAATTCAAAATCATAAACAAAACAAAACAAAACAAAACAAAAAAACAGGGACTAGGTTTGCTGGTCTGGTAGAACCTGGTGGAACCCCTGAGACTATGGCCCCTAGCTGCCCTTCAGGTGTGGAATTGAACCCATTCCTGTGACTTCCAGCCAAACAAAAGACAGGCATATGAGCTGAACATGTACATTAAGTAGATACACTCCTTGGAGAGATCAATTATGGGAGAATAGAAGGGCACAGGGAGACAGCTTTGGGTTGGGGGGCAGAAGTGCATGAGAATGAAGGACACAGGGAAGAGGTAACTATGGGGAGGAAGTGGGAAGAGAGCTGTTGTTGCATTATGGTAAATTGTATTCAATGTTGTGAGACAGAGTATATGTGAACAACTGTATGGAAAATGAATTTGCTCTGTTAACTTTCATCCAAATCACAGTAAAAATTTAAAACAAAAACAAAAACAAAAAAATCCTAACGTAGTTATTCAGTGAAGCATTCTTAAATAGATCCAGTGTTGCTCCATTCATATTTCTGTTAATGCATATTTTAAGATATGTTTATTTATTTTGCTGCCATTTGTTACTTTGCTAACCTAGTTGTAGTAACGAGAGATGTATGTAGCTTCTTGGGAAATCTGAAAGCATTGTGCTTTGCTAACTTGCAGATCTACTTGGTTGTAAATTCTGATCCTGGGAAAGAGTTTGTGGGCAGAAGCCTTACCTATGCTCCATCCCTATCAACCGAACTTTTCTTATTACTTCATAAAATAAAAACCTGTATACCCAGAAAGGACCTTAGCAATTATCTATCAGTGTTTTACAGGTGAACAAACAGAGGGCCAGAGAGGTAAAGTAACTGGTCGAAGGTTGTATAAGTAGTAAAGAGCATGTGGCTCAACCCTAGCCTGCCCTATATATGTCTGATATTTTGAGAAGCCACACTGTCTCAGTTGTGTATCATTTTTATTTCTACAAATCTAGTTCATAAAGTGAAATACTCTCTTTGAAATTTTTGTCAGTCTTACACTGCTAGAGTTTAGTAAGGGCTTTTCCAGCTATTCAGACAACTACCTTTGCCCTCTGTGCTTTTCTTGAGCATACTGATAAAGAGCAAAGGAACTTCTTTATTTAGTCATTAAAACAAACAAACAAAAAAACACTGCCATTGAGTTGATGCTGAATCATAGCAATCCCATTGGGTTTCCAAGGCTGTCAATCTTTACAAAAGTAGATTGCTTCATCTCCTCCCCTGTGGAGCGGCTTGTGGATGTGAACCACCAACTTTCTTGTTAGCAGCCAAGTGCCTATACACAGTGCCACCAGAGCTCCTTTGAAACCTAAATAGAATCAGAGACAGAAGATTAGGGAAAGTTATCATGAATGATAGTATTTTGTATTTCTCACAGAAAAAAAAGTGGGGATCAGGGGAGGGTGTAGATTTGTCATTGACTAACTTCTGAGTTTTAAATTTCAGTTGTTGAAATTAGTTATAAATAAGGACCTTTCAATTTTTTTTTCATCACGAATATTATTCCTTGAAAAAGAAAAATAATTTGGTCTATGTGAGTTTGTTTTTGGTATTAGCTAGAATAAGGAGGGAAGAGGAGTGCATTTCATCCTAGTTAAAATTGAATTTGTATTTGTATTTTTGTGCTTTACTTGAATATGAAATTTGTGAAATAAATTCTAAATAGATGATTAGTAATCTCAATTATTTTAATATAACAGGATAGACTTGATCCAGCTGATGTTCAAAATACTTGTCATGTGTGGCACGTAAATGTAGAAGCCCTTCCAGAATGGATAAACTGCCTGATACAAAAAGTAAGTTTCATAGTTTCTGAATAAAATTAGTAAAACACAGTTTTCAGAATGTTTTCATCATTTTAGAGCTCTTTTTCTTGGCTGCATTGTTTCAAGAGACATGGAAGGATATGTAAGTCTTGATTACACTTACTGGCTCCTTCACCATTACTTCAGGTAATTTTACACCTCA